GGGCCGCTACTTTTCGTGTTTTTTATTAGTTAAATTGAGTAAGAAGTCGGCAGTACATCGCGCTACCACACTTATGCTTCCGGAACAGCATTCCCCCTGTTAGTCGTTGATGAACGTTCATCTGACCGCTTACGGAACTCATCTGTCCCGCTCACCAGAGGCTCTGGTAACCCTGGCAAATGGTAGTACAGGCAGACAATATTGTCGGCAAAGACAAGGGAGACTGGAGTGGCCATTTCTATCTTATTAGCCGTCATCAGTCAGTCATACCCAAACCCAAGTGATGTCCCACCCGAGCCTCCTAACCATTGAGCCACGAGCTCGTTGTCTAGTTGGTTTAGGCCAGAGGAGGCAGATGCCCAAGACACAGCGGGGCAGATGAGTCCCGTTAGCCGTCAGGTGAACGTCCATCAACGAGTGCCAATATTCCCAATAGGGCGTTTGACTCTGATCAAGAAAGTCGCGAGTTCGAGGCTCGGCTGGGACGCCACTTGGATTTTGGAATGACTAGCAGACGATGGCTAATAAGCCGGAAGTGGCCATTCTAGCCTCCTTTGTCCTTGCCGATGATACTGTCTGCCTATTCTCCTTGCTATTTTGCGGTCGCTGATTGAAAGACCAAAAATCATGTTTGTCTTTTTGTGCACACTGTTACAGGACCAGAAGTAGACTTTTTAAACACAACTTGTTGATTCAGCGAAACAAACATCTTTTGCGTATGCGCAACCTAACCGCTTCCTCCCTGCCTGACCATAGGTCCTGGTGTGGGTCCACCATAAAATTCCACCTAACCTTCGTTCCCGTTACGCCCTGCTCCGCCGTGAGCAATGTGCTCGACGCCCTCGGTGCCCAGACAAGCCTTCGTGGTGCTTCCTCTTTCATCGTCTATTCACAGACGAATGAGACGCTGGGGCAGCTGCGGTCTCGTCTGTTGATGCTGCGTTTGCGTCAGTTGGGTGTCCCGCTGACAGCTGAGCTCAGAGACAGTGACAGCAGTGCCGACCAATCCCGGGATTTCCCCTTCCTCTCTCGTCTGCGATTGGACATCAGCCATCCGGATAGCCAGTGCAACGCCGCTCCCAATCACATGGCGCTCATCTCTTACTTTATGCAAATTGTGCGTAAAGTAGAGGCCTCACCCTCTTCAGAGTAGGTCCCCCTCATCTTCCTTATAGCCTCCTCTTCTCCTTAGCCTCAGTTTGGCCTGTCTGTAGAGCACGTTGCACGTTACTAACCCGCTTATTTCTTTTTTGTGTCTCTTCCTCTGACAGGTATCGTTTAGTGGGACGTCTTTGTACAGTAGATGCAAGCCCAGTACTCCCTCAGCAGCAGCAGCAACAACAAAAACCTATTGCCTTTTCCGGTCTACCAGTTTATGGGCCGGACCCCGCACCCATGGACTACTTTATAAACACAGAACAGTCCACTTATCGTGATCCCAACCGTGTCGCTGAATGGTACTCCTCATCCTCACAGTACCAACAAACACAACCTGACCAGGGCTTCGATTATAGGGACACATCCCCGCAATTGCCCAACTCCTCTACTCCGGGTCGATGTGTGTCTCCGGATGAAGACAATGATGATGATGACGACGACGACGGTGTTGGCGGTCAAGATGTGCGGAACGAGATGAGTGACCTTCTTGGCGGTGATTATTCCAGCCGCCGACAGTGTGTGCCTGTTCGTTCCAACTCCTCCTCCCCCGACTCCTCCAATCAATCTAATCGCCCTCGCTCCTCCGCCGTCTCATCGTCCGATCACAATTCTACTTCCTCCTCTTCTCCCGGTTCTTCGGAAGAGCGCCACCGCACCGACTCTACCGGGCATCCCGAGCTAGCGTCTGAGGAATTCCGAACCAATACCCTAGTGGCAACACCTTTGCAGGTGGCCAACCAGCGTAAACGCTCCTCTTCCTTCAAGACTCACCAGTCCCCTTCGCTGTCACCGATTGGTCAGCTGAGACGCTCGGCTAGCGCCAAAAAGCTGACAGTCGCGCCTGCACCCCAACTTGACACCCATGGGCAGTTATACGATGGAGAAGATGGTTTTCAGCCAGAGGCTAACCTCCCGGGTAATTCATTTGCCACACTCCAGAGTGGAAATTATACTCAGACCCTGAACAGTTCTTGTGTTTGTTTTTGTGAGCAAATCCCCTGTGGGCAAATTTTCGTACCTGGCCTAATGAACGCACCTTTTTGCTATTGTTTTGCCAGTTTTTTTAATCTACTCCAAAATTAATGCGCTAGCTTTGCGTAAATCCTATTGGTTCAGTCCAAAAACTAGTACCTGTGCTGCCAGCGTGGTAACTCAGCGAACACTATTCCGTCATAACAGAGAAAACCTAGGTGTCTGTGTCCTTTTAAGCAATTCCAAAATTGCTTGAAGTGCATTTTCTTTATATCTTCGAGTTTCATTTTGCTCAAACCAATTGCCTGAAATTCCTGTGCGACTTCCTGTCGAGGTATTAAAGTACGGTTGGTGGCGTTTATCCTGGCATCTCAACCGAAATCCTGTAATGTGTGTTAAATTAGGCAGGATTACTTTGGCAGGATGGTAATGTACTAAGTATCATGCAGGGTAATACTGTTTTCGGCTACGCTTCCCGGCTGTTTTCAAACATTATCTAAAAATGCCAGCTTAAGTATTGTGCTATGTTTAAATTAATTTCCGATGTCCTTATGAATTTAAAAATAATTGCTCAAAAATATGCAAATGTGGATCGTGGTATGTTTTTACCCGTTAGTAACTCACGACTCCCTAAAACTCTCCTGAACGAAAGGTTATCTTTTCATTTAACTTTTTTTCCTCATAGCTTTCTTTTGTAAATACAAATTGTGCACTGAGCTAGCATCGTGTGTGTTCGTTTACTAATGCCCCTTTTTAATTATACAATGTATTCAGTATCCATTGTTAGCACTATGTAGTGTCTTGGATTACTAACTTATTTCCCTGAAATGGAAAGCTCACAGGTATCATGTCGTTGATTACAAAAGTTGATGAATGACTTGAGGACTACAAGGAGGTATTTTTGTTTATATTTCCCGCAGAATATAATTGAATTAATATGGGCATCGATAATCAATTGAAAAAAAAACTAATGCTACATAGTAGTCATTTTTACTCAGTGTGTTTCGTAGGTGACTAAAAAGAACCGCATTCAGGGGCTGGTATCCTGCGTTAACTGGACTTTGTAATTATCTTGCACGATAGCCATTGGCACAACCCCAAGCAATCCCAAGGTAAGAGACTTCATGCTGCTGTCATATTGCTTGAATTCCACAAGAACACAATGTCCCCTAATCCGAAGGAAAATCAATCATCACCGTCATGAAATACTTTTTATTCTTCTCCTTAGGTTGCCTTATCTCAGAGGACCAGACTTATGTGAGACTGCTTTTCGACATTGGCAATATGGCTCTCCTCGCGAACCATAAACCTCTGCGAGATGGCATCATTGACGTGCTCTTCTCTTTGCCCAGCGGCCCGGACTACATGAAACAACTTTTGGAGACCTGCACATCTTGCGACAGTAGGTTGCCCTCCCGACGAAACGTTTCTCACCCCTTTTTTTCCAACCAAGAACTCACCCTGCTGTTTAACTCGAACGCGAAACTTGTCCATAAACTTCATCCTTACCCTAACCTAGACCTTAACCCCAAATATAACCTCAAAACTAACGCTTATGCCTCCGGAAGGTAGCGCAGCCCTCGCCTTCACCCCAAGAGGGGTTCCCATCCGCGTACCTTACCATTTTCCTAATTACAGTATGGCGAGTGCTGCAAGCAAAATGCCGCAATTTGCGAAATACTGGTAATCACTCGCAGCACAACAGCAAGTAGGCTTGCAATACTGCAGTCTAATCTCAAGTCTTTTAAGTCACACCACAATGCCGCAATTTTAACGAGGTTCTTTCTGACCGCTTACAAGAAGCTGATTCTGTAAAAAAGGACCACTTACATAGTCTGTATGTTTGTCACGGATTTTGACTGTCTTTATAAATTTAAATGTACTTTATAGGAAAACATGCACGAAAACACCTTTTCCTGTTCTCTTTTGGTAGAAAATTACGCTTTCTTTAACATTTTAGAGTTAAACAAAGGGTGTCTTTGGGTTTTAAAAAGTTTTTAAATTTACCAA